TTTCAGCCGCTAAGCAGTAATGCTCATACTACTGTGTTCCGATTTTGAAGAGTATGGGTACTGGTGAAACTACAACCTCATGGACAACTTTATGTCTCAGAATGACGGGCGCAGTGGCAGTGCCCCTCAGGTCTTTGCGATTGAAAGATCTGAGTGCAGGCGCATATCTTGTTCATCCCATTACTTTATATCATAATATAATCTCTGTACAGAGAACTAAAAAAAACCGACTTCAAAAGTCATTCATCCCCTAGTTTGCCTCCCTTAAAGGTGGAACACTTTCTTCAAATTGAAATGGGACCAATCCTGAGGTATCCTCTTTCCAACAAAAAAAGAATCGTCACAATCGGTTCACAAATGCCGAAATGCCGATGAGTTATCGCGTAACATGCGTACAAAAAAAACATGCAGTCGATTTGAGAACCTCCTCCTTTTTTTTGAAGTCGGTTAAAACGAATAGAATGAAGACTATGGTCATTGCCATAGGGCCATTTACATAGGGCGCACTATAATTTTCCGGAACTGGCCATACTTACATAAACAATATTCAAAAAGTAATTGCAACATTTGAAAATGGAACTCTTTGGCTGTAGAACACAGTTTCCTTCATCTGACTGTCACTGGTTATTACATTGTGGCGTTATTTTAGAAATTGGTTGTCTACATCACCATGGATTTAACTCGTGAAAATTTTCGTAGTATGATTTTCTACGACTTTAAGTGTAATGTAACAGCTCAGCGGAGCTTCGCTTGGCTTCAAACTGCTTTTGGCGATGAAGCACCATGCAAGACGACTATCTATCTCAGTGACGAATTTCGTGATGGTCGCCCGTCCACTGCTGTGAACAACAAAAACATCGATGCTGTGCGCCGTATGATCAAACCAGACAGGCATGTGACATACCATGAGATTCGGGCATCTTTAGGCATAGGCTTGAGTTAAATACAATCAATAGTACAAAAACACTTGGGTGTGAAAAAGCTGTGCTTTCGGTGGATCCCACACAATTTGACTAAGGCTCAAAAAACGGATTGTGTCACTTGATACAATGCCATGCTTACCAGATTCAACGAAGGGATGTCAAATTTGGTGTGGAACATAGTAACAGGTGACGAAACATGGATTTATAGTTACGATCCCAAAACAAAGTAGCAATCGAGCGTATAGGTCTTTCGAGATGAGCCGAAACGAACCAAAGTGGCGCGCGTGGAAAGTGCCTCTAAGCGGATGATTGCTTCTTTTTTTAATAAAACTGGACACGCGGCTACTGTTGCTTTGGAGAATCGTTGTACCGTGAATAGTGATTGGTACACGACCATTTGTTTGCCGGAAGTTATAGACAAACTCCGCAAAAATAACCGTAAACGTCGTATCATCTTGCACTACGATAATGAATTTTTGAAGGTGAACAACGTTGACCTTATGAGCCATTCCGCTTACAGTCCCGATCTGGCACCTTGTGACTTTTATTTATTTCCAAAAATTAAGAACCAGTTACGCGGTCAACTATTTTCATCACCGGAAGAGGCTGTCGAAGTGTATGAAAAATATGTTTCAGAGATTGTCACGGAGGAGTGGCACAAATGTTTTCAAAATTGGTTCATTTGTATGAAAAAGTGCATTAACGCTATATAATATATTGAGATATATAATATATGGAGAATATTTTGAGAAATAATAAATTCATTTCTGACCATTTATAGTATTTTTTCTTATTCATTCCGGAAACTTACAGTGCACCCCACGTATTATGTAAGGTTATACGGTAAAATTAAAAAAAATATATTCGATGAGGAGCATGTTTAGTTCGAGATATTTCTTAAACTAAAATTTTAAGACGTTAAGAATTATGAAATAATGAAGATATCATTAAGTATTAGTATTAAATATGCGATTTTAGATTTGGTACAACATTACGCCTTTATTAACAGTTTGAATGTCTTGAGTGTCGTCTGCCGATAAATGCTCTTTAGCAATTGCAGGAACATATTCCTTCAGATGACGCAAGCATTGACGTCTAGGAAATTCGCTTGCACAACAATGTCTAGGTGTACTATGTATATTCTGTATAATATATGTATCTTAAGTTGTGCTCGGACTCCGCCGTGGCGAATTATGGTTCACGAGCGTACCATTTATCGTGTCCTTGCCCTTTCGGTCAATCTGTTTTTTAGTAGTTTATGTAGTATTATACATCTGGTCTCGGCACAATTAATACGTCTATGGGCTGTGAGGTTAAGTCAGCATTGTCGAAACCTCTTTAGATTAATAAAGCATATTTTTACTTAATAAGTGTTTTTTCCGCTCAATTATAATAGAATAACTTTTTGTAAATAGTACAGTTTTTTCATAATACCAAGAGACGGGATTAACAAATCGAGCGATGGTGATAAACAATAAGCCTGTCCATTACAGTCGCAGTACTGGTCAGAGCTTTAAGTCGCAAAGTTCTGAGGGGCAGCCACTGCGCCCGTAATCCTGAGACATAAGTTGACAAGTCCCACGTGCCTTTAATTTCACCGGCACCTTCAAAACCGAATGCTTGGCTGCAGAAATAGGGAAAGTGGCAGTAATTTTGACGGTCGAACTCTTTCACAAGGAGCTTTATTGCTGCTATTTTTTTTCTAAACTATAATTAAAAGACTTAGCTAATCCAAGTCGAGTAGAGAAATTGGGAAAAATGCTATATTACCAGAAGGCTTGTTAAGTTAACGTCGTTAATAGGTTTTAATGACAAAAATTCCATGGTATTAAGTATTTTATGAGTATCTCTTTTACAGCACTAAGAAGTGCTAGTCAGGTCATTAAAGTTAGCCAAGGTTTTGAAATCCTCAGTCATGCTATTGACTCATAATTAGTAGTCGGATGTTCGGATGCTTTATCTAAAGCTCACTTTTTCCGGTGAATCTCTATCGCTGTATGGAGACCGCTTCTTAAATATATATCTTCTTTTAAATCCCGGAATGCGGGAAAAAACAAATATACGCGATTTAAATCCGGAAAAATAGTTTCATTTCCTATGTGTAACAATCGCGAAAACATAAGAACTCAACATTTATAAGTACAACACTAGACTGTAAACGTAGTCATTCACAGAACTAGTGGGTGATAAAAATATTAGTCGTTCTGTGAAGAATCTCAGTAGTTCTATTTATTAACATAAAATTATGGGAAGAAAAATATCAATAGTTCTGTCAACAGAACTGTACAATGGAAGTAGTGGGAGTAATCGTCCAGCTATATTACAACATCACTATGTTACAACGTCGTATATCTACCTGACTGTTACTTTCCTAAAGAACGTTGCGTATGTCATATAGTATTAATGGAATCAGGTTTCCTTCCTTATTCCGATAGATATTCGTTGACTTGAACAACATGTCCACGAAAACATAAAACTGAGTCGTAAACTGGTAACAACTGGCTTAGACTTATCATGAAATTTACCATCCATATTGTCTTCTGAATTTTTTTAAATAAAACCAAAACAGATCTTTTCAAATGAAATCATTCATTAAAATTTAATAATTCAAATAAATTCACTTATAGTACTTTACCATTAACCATACCTTCACCTTCGAACATACATGTACCCTACTGAGATAGTACATTTGATTGAAGTTTAATGTCAGTCGAAGTATGTACCTTTTAGAAACATACTAAATATAAGTACAACATTTCACTTTGCGTCTTAAATACAAGGCTTCCAGTGGCTTTTGGAAAAAATTTAAGTATAGAAATTGATCCCAACTAGGAAAGAAAATATTAAATTTTTACAAAATCACATTTTAGAAAGTAAGTCACTAGATTTATTTATTGTCAGCGAATGTGTGATCATATTGGTATTACAAGCATCATAAGATCAACTCTCTGTTATTACAATTCACAGTAAAACTTATATTAATAAGTAGCTCAATTGTTCGTCTAGTGATGCTCAATGCAAAATCAAGACAGCTTATTATTTTTTTCAATTAATTAATTGAAAAAAATCGCAGTCTTAGTCTTGGTCTCGGGTCAGTACATCTGGCCTTGGTCTTGTAGAGTCAGTTTTGGTCTCGGTCTTGATACAAGATTCTCGTAAGTCTTGCTATTACCTATTATTACTTAACAAATTATCTTATTCTTACAAAAAGTCACAAAGAGGATCTGTTTAGACTTTAGAACAAGCAATAGAATGGTTCGTTTTCATTACATATTGACGTAGGTACAATGAAGGCCAACGAAATTACGAAAAATTAACTTTCCAATATTTTTATGATCACGTTCCTTGGTTACAATTTTAGATTAATTTAGATTAAACTCGCAATATTATTCATATGCATTAATAAATAATACTAGTTAACGTATGTTATGGGTACAAGTTATGATGATACGCTTCAGGGAACACTACGCCGCCCATCGGGTCGTTATTTAGATTTTTCATTTTCGGTATATATTGTTCGCTAGTGTTTTTTCTTGTCACACTTTTATTACAAGTACATATTATTTTATGTATGCAAAAAACTATATACTTCAAAATATAATCATCAACACAATAGGTATAACAAATAAGTAACTTTGTAGGTAGTTAGTTAATATTGATTACCTACACCTGGGAACATCTATCAATATCGATATTAATTTCAAACCAAATGCACCAATACCTAACGCCCATACGTCTAGTGACTCAGTCTTGTTCTTGCTCAAGTCTTGCAGAGTCTGTCTCGGTCTTGCAAAATTACAAGTACAAAACCGGGACTCAAGATCAAGACCGATTTTGGGCAACACTATTTTTATCATTCATCGAAATTCTACCCGAAAGAGCTGTCAAATCGAAAACCAATAATATACGTAAAAAAACACGTATAAACCACTGATAATTCTGAGTGTTTAAGGGTAAGGAATAAGGGTCTTAGGAATAAGTATTAAAGCTGGTGCTGACCATACCATTTGACGTGCGATCTTTTGTTTATGTTAAGGGGTTTTAGTATTTTTCGTGACGGTTGTTTTTACTTCTAAAGAGTCTACGTTCAAAATGACCGTGCGGTTGGTTGTTTTCGAACAGAGTACAACTATAATACAACTTAAGATAGAATATAATTGCTCTGCAGTAGCTAAAGATATTTTGACAAAGTTTACTACATCACATATAGCTTTTTTACGTAGGGAAGCCTTTTAATATTACGTCGGTGTTGCGTCTGAGTGTAATTAGTGACAATTTAACATTTAGTTTTCCAACGTAGGCCTTTACTTTAGATAAGCATCATATTTCATCAAGATGTAATGCAGGTCCCTTACATGTATTAGAAAGAAACATGTTGTACACGGAGTGCTCCCATCATAACCACTGCACGGCCATTTATTCTACACCACTGTTGGTAAAGGCTACTCCTTCTCAAAGAACTCCTGAGTGAGTGGTATATGCGTGAGTTGGTCGTACGTGTAAGTGTCGAAGAATCGTTGCGTGACGTTCATGGCGTAGTCGATGGCGTAGTCCAGGATCGGTCCGCCAAATTCCTGTGCAACCAGTTGCGAGTTCGAGTTCAATACTTGTAGGACGTTAGCACCTGTAATTCATTTGTTGTTTTAATTCGTGTAATATACACATTCTGTAAATGGTGAAGTGCTTCTTTTTGATAATTGTAATGTTAGAGATACGCTAGGTATGTAATATGACCCAGTAGCATGCGTAGGCGGATCCTGAGTCGTCTCTCTATGGCGGTGGGATTGACCGCTGGGTTTTAGTGGGTATACAGGAGTCCCACATAACCGCTTGCTGTACCCCCGATGCGAGTGGTAGGCGTAAAGCATTTCCCACTTCCCAGCGTAAAAAAGGAGGTAATTAATTTATGTTGCTATTATATTACCTACCCATTGTGTATGGCGAATAAAGTGACTTATGAACAATATTTTTATATCGTGTTCTTAGTAATTATCGCGATCAACCTAATTTTTCGCGATTATTACACATTGAAAATGTAACTATTTTTTCGGATCAGCAGGTCGATTCAGAACCTTATGATAACTCTGTTGTCGACCGATTCGATTAGATATCGTACGATTTTAAATGTTTATTGAATTGATTAAAGGACTGGTAACTGTAAAGGTACTAACTGGGTGATAATCTTTTATAGACGGCGTTACGACTAAAAAGTGGTTGAAAAACCAAATACAAAGACACGACGCAAGCACATAGAAAAATTAGTGAGGTCCGCTGGTTCGTTCCGTGGCTTAGTTGGTATAGCGTCTGGCACGGTAAGCTAGAAGACGTCAGTTCGAATCCGGCCGGATCGAAGAAGTTTTTTCTTTGATCTTTCTTTCTTTCTTTAATAATTATCGTACGATTTCTTTTCATTTTTATTCACAATAACCAACTATCGAATTCGAAACCGAACCGAAGTGACGTCTCACCCGTACGATTACTCGAACTTCTCGACCGGCAAAGGCTACAAACGTTATTCAGAACACAGTTATCGAATGAGTACCGAACGTCCTATTGTTTACAAAGCAAGAATGTATTATGGAAATCTTTATTTATTTAAAAAAAAAATTGGATTTCGTTCAATTTTATTAATTTATTTTAGTGCAAGACTAATGCATTCCTATATTTTAGGCCATTAAAGTCTTAAAAATGTATATAAAAGGATTTTAATTTTTCTTATAATCTATTTCACCGACTAACTCCGTAAATGCTGTTGGATAAAGATATCGTATCCGAATCGAACGTTGTAACTCGAATGTTCTGAATAGCTCGGAAAGCGCCCTTCGATTCGAGAACGATATCCAATCGAATGATTCGGTTAAATATCGAAGAGTTCTGAATCGGGGGCCAGGGGGTCTACTCTCGTTCTCTGTCCGACATCAGCCTGAAACAGTTGCGAAATTAACAGACGCACGATGCGAATGAAGCTTCATACTTAACATTGTCTTTAAATTTGGTCGAGTATTACTTTATTGGAAATACTTGTTTCGGGTGGATGTCAGACGGAGAACGAGTGAATCGCGTATATTTGCTTTTTTAAACAAAAACCAACGTATACTTTTAAACTTTCGCGTTGCATGGTACTAACATTTGGAAACGGGAAGAAACGCGTTTACATACGAATAGCAGTCAGCCCGTGACCACGGCCAGTGCAACCTGCCCGAAACGTCGGGAATCTAGGTAGGTGTGAAAAATTCCTATTTGTGTGTAACGCGTTTATTCCCGTGTCCAAATGTTAAAAACCAACGTTTCGGCCTCAGTATGGTCCGTCGGAGAAGACGAAGTCATCAACCAGTCACTTAGGTCTAATATTAATGCAAACCACCTTATTCTGAACTATAGTTCCAAAAGTTAGTAATTTAAATATCTTATTCTTATTTATTATTTTTATCAAATTTGTAATATGTGCAAAATATATGTAAATTGGAAACGCGATTAAACTCGCGATAAAGCGCGATCCGTAAAAATAGTTTTATTTCTAAATATACATATTTGTAATATCTATCTACATACATAACGACATATATACCTATATATATGTATGTACGTATGTATGTGTATATTGTTAGACGAGATTTAGGAAAGCCTAGATATTCTGTGTACTTACTAATTTCAGCGCTGCCTCTAAAGAGATTTGTGAGATTAAGTTTGAGATCGGTGCCATAGTCAGCTTTGTACTTATACGAGTTGATTTTGTAGTGTCCGTCGCCCTTGTCGTTTTTCACCACCTTCTCCAGCACTTCGAGACGTATTCGTTGATTCCCTACGAAAAAAATATCGGGTTTAAAGTAACGGAACTATTACTACTTAAATTAAAACATACTTCTGAAATGAGCATTTTCGTTACATCTCGAATACTAATAATAGTTTAATACTGCCTCTGTTGCCGAACAGTTACCATGCTGATCTGCTACGCAGAAGTCCCGGGTTCGATTCTCTAAATAGCTTTTAAATAGGTAGAAGGTAGCTTCTAAATAGGTAGAAACCGATCATCGTGCATTAATACGTCTTGCGTCCTACAGCCTATTCGTAAATTAAAACAAGTTAAGCCATGTAGGCATTTTGATCCCGCGGCACAAGAAAGTGCGTAATATGTAAATGCGTTTAAGTGCCAATGCCACTTTTTAATTTTGTTTTAAACGGCAAAGCAATGTGTCCCAGGGGCCGCAGGTCGTGATCTTACCAGAGTTTCTTTTATGGGCAGTTGGCAAGTCAATTACCCTAGGGCACCTATTACTTACCTATTACTAACGCTGTACCTTGCCGAGGTGACCGATTTTTAGTTCACATGATCTGCTAATGATCACATAGTTTTAAAAACAAACATGCAAAAAAGTTTTAAATTCAACTTAATATTTTTAATACGAAATTTGAATACAAAGTATTTTTTACAACCACTTAAGAAAAAATAAGTTGTTCTATGAAAAAGAAGGGGCATAAAAATACTATTTGTCTCAATCTGCGCCGCCATATTGGGAGGCATTACATAAGGATGGTCTTGGCCTTCTGGTTTAATCAGTGACTCATCCTATAACCGGAAAACACACCGACATAAATGGATAGCAAAGAGGAGATTGTAGAGGAACGACATCCCTATGTCGTATGTGAAAGCCGGATAGTTGCCCCACTTTTAGAAAAAGCTCTATTATAAAATAGTATGTACTTAATAAGAAAAATGCTACATGTATATCAAAATATAGGTCTTTGAACTATAATAGTAGCCTATTTTTGTGCACATATTTATTAATGGTTTTGAGTAATTCCTGTTTTATTTGACCTCTCAAAAAGAGGATAGTTGCCTACTCTGGCGGATAGTCGCCTAAAGGAAATAATACTTCAGAGGATACTTGCCTTGTGCGGGGATAGATGCCTCACAATGTTTATTTTAAATAAAAACAAATTTATATCAATTAACGTAATCAGTCTTTATTATTTACTGCAATCTTTTGTTAAGAACTAATCAACATTATTAATTTTTTGTTTTAAAACTATGAAAATATAACAAAAATAACCTCCAAATCTTAAATTAGTTACTTGTTATTAATACAAAATTATTATTTAGCTTAAAAATATAACAATATGGCAATCAACTTTGGCATTAGCATTAGTTAATATTAGTCATCACAAGTAAGGGTTTTCATCTTTCCACATCTCATGCAATTGTTTTCGAATGTTGTACAAGTTTCATGCAACCACATTCGACATATCTGACATTGAATCCAATCTGATTTCGATTTAGTAAAATTGTAATTCTCGAAACATTCTACGCAATAATCATTATCAGAATTTTGTTTATTTATATTTTTTATTTTTAAATTAGCATTTTCGACTTTTATTTTCTTTTCAGTATCTCTCGATCTTGATTTGGTTGGTAGTCCTTTGGTGGCTTTTCCTTTGAGTGATTTCGGAATAATATATATATTTTCTTCATTTTCACTGTCAGAACTGTAAATTTGTATTCTTCTCTTCCTTAAAGCTCTTCTTTCGGTCAGTTTAATATAATCTGTGTTACCTAGAAATGAAGACATAAAAAGTTAACCATTTATTTCATTTTATTTAATAAGTCATTCAAAAAAATATCTAACACGGGTGGGCCTTGAACCCACAACCTCAATATTTATTTTATTCAAGCTTAATTATAGCCACAAAGAGTTAAAAAACATAAAAAGAAAAAAATCTCCCTTTGCTCGTAAAATAATTTATAGTTGCGGATAGTTGCCCCAGGGCGACTAGTTTCTAGGGCGACTATCCTTTTTGATACGGATACTTGCCCTTTTTATTTGGAAAAAAAATTTAGCAATAAAATGTTATAAATAGTGTAATGTAAACTCTAATGCACGCAACGAAACAAAAAGTTGACTGAAAAGACAATCAGTAATAAAAATATTCAATAGAAATTACTTACCAATATAGTTTCAACGCCTATCGAAGTTTCGCCGCGGAAGATTTTCGCTCACACGGACAAAACGCGTGCGTCTAAACTGACGGTTGATGTGGCACTGAGGTCTGCGGGAGGGGTACTTACAATTGTAGTAGCTCGCTACTGCCACCAAACGCCCGTAACATAGTTAATTCGAAACCGTGGCAAGTATCCCCGTGGCGCAACTATCCGGATTTTACCCTACCTGTAGCGAGCGATTTAAAAATGAACCCCAAATTGGACAAAAACCATTAAAAGCATTCGCACTACTCACTCGAAAGCTATTTACTACAGAGACTTTGTGCCAGCACTAATTAACCTGCAGGTATCATGCCATGGTGCTTAGAAAGTCACCGTAGGGCGGTGATTGGTCAGCTTGAAGTTTTATTTTACATTAGCGGGAGCCCGCGTCTTTGTCTGCGTAGAATAAGTACTTTGAGTAGCCTATTGTACTATACCACAGAGATCTAAATAAAATTATTTAGATTTCTGTGTGGGTACTATACTAATTTTCGTAGTTTTATTGGTTCTCAATACAAACTTTATCCCCTATTCCACCCTCAAAAGTAAGTTATATCTTTCTCCTAGGTCCCATCTATCTTTATACCAAAATTCATCGAAATTTATTCGGCCCGCAAACAGCCGAATAAATTTCGATAAACGTGAAAACTTAGCAGATCCTTTAGCATTTATATTTGTTCGAATTGTTTATTTATTGAATATTATGATTGTCGCGTCCAGCCTTCAGCAGGATGACCACCTCCGATGCGAGCAGATAACTTCTAGCTGTATGTTACCACGTGATGTTACCACGATATTCATATTTTTTTTGTGAAAATACTCCACTAGTTTGCACAAAGAAAATCTAATTCGATCTGACTATATAGGGAATATATAGGTTATCTTTTTAAAATTTACTGATTGCTAATGGTACAGTTAAGTTGATCTTTTTCTTCTTAGCGTGTCGACTCTGATGTTTACACTTGTGAGGACTGGTACTTAACGACTGACACAGTATTATCAGTGGCGTTGTACAGGTCCTCGCGTGTGCAGATGTACGGACAAGCAGGGCACGTCAAAAGATGTGCCATTGTCTGGGAAAAGCCACCACACTCACATGCGCTATAACCCCACCTGTGCATGCTCTCCCTGCTTGAGTGAGGTGCTCCGACAGCGGAGGTTTTGGGGGTTGATTTCCGGTAGGACCAATTTGGGAAATGAATTACTCTGAATTGGTTTTGGTTTGGGTGTTCTGGAGTGAATTCCATTGCTCTGGTACTCACAGTACAAAGAATTCCCTGGTTTGAGACCAGGCAATTGGTGTGGTTGTGTGGCACATAATATATTATTTTTATTAAGGTACATAATATGTTTCGTTTCATTACAATGTTTTATATACTGTTCTGCGATAGTGTTATTGGAGCTAACTGAGTGACGTCATTCTACATCAGCATGACTGCAGCCATAAAATAGCGGATGTCACCAAAAGGCTTAAACAGATTAGGTTGAGATCCATACCTCTTTATTCCATGTTTTTATCAATATAAGAAAGAAGGAAAGCAATATTTAATTGGCTATTCACAATAATATTTCAAACACATAAGTAGTTTTAGTTCAAAGAAAAAAATTAAATGAAACTAAATATACAATAACACCCGAAAAAACTTGTAGGCTCTGTTTTGCGCTGGGCAATGCAATAATGCGATTTTCAGTTGGAGCCTAAGAGAAGATATATAGATGGTTTTAAGAAAACATGAATTGTGTAGTCATTTATAATAACAAATAAATAATACTACAATTTTAAATTAGATGGAAATTGTCACCGTTTATCTGTCGCATTATCGTTATTTCCTTTATTTTTTTAAGGAAAATAAGATAATAGACGTTAAGTCCTACGGACAAGTGATAAAAGTAATAGGAACTACATGAAACAAATTATGTGAATATATGTGAAACTCTATGGAGTTATAACGGAGTTATATACAGGAGAGTTCCTGAAAGCTATATGAAAAAAGTTATCGACTATTTTCATTTGTAGAATCTTTAAACCTCTCTCCTGAAAATTTATCATTATAGATAAGGCCTTATTATATCAAGGGTATGTATTAAGGCTGTAGCTCTCACCTACCCCGATGGGCAAAAGGAGGTGAAGAGTATATATGTATGTATGTTAAGACGTTCTAGTGTAACCACACCGAGGTCATTGCACTAAATCACATATTCCACTGCTGAGCACTGTTTTGTTCCTATCTACCGACTCGAGAATAGGGTATTCCGGAGAGATACCGGACTAGCCGGCAAGACCAGGGTACAGCGGGCGTCCGGGCCAAGCCCGCCGCCAGTGGACCGCCTTCACGAGCGTCTCTGGTGGACACGGACCTGGGTATGAACTCGCTGGAGTTTGTGATGACCTGTAGAGACGGACATACCTAAGTAATGTGGCCGGGTCGTCTATCTCGTGCGAGTCTAACGCGTCTTAGAAGTGGTCCGACACCTATGAACAGATTTGGTAGTGGACTTTAGAGTCGACGGCTTAGCGGTGGCATCCGCTAGTTGTGCAATGCACAACGGAAAGTGAGCGAGCTTACAGCTTGGATACCTATCTGGAAAATAGGGAGCGGTTCACTCGAGGCACTAGCCTCTTGAGAACCGGATGAAGGTCAGTGACAACGGTCTGTGACAGCCCTGTACACTGGCTGATACGGGGTCAGAATCTGAACTTAGAAGGGAAGGTTATAGTGCCCTTCCCGCATAACCAAGAGGTTGATACGTTACGGAGGTTCACTATAATCAAAACAGATATGCGAGCTACTGTGCAATAACGAGAATTTCTTTGCGAGATTATGTAAAGAGTAAATAAAAAAGTAGGTACTAAATGCTTACAGATTTTAATCTTCGCGTTACCATCGGTGTCCAGGTTGAAAAGCAGCAGTCGACCTTGCAGGCTGTAGTGGCCCTTGATTGTGAAGTTGCAGTGCAGCTCGAAGATAAATGTGCGTTTCTCGCGCCGCGACCTATCACATAACAGCTTATATAACAGTACTTATGACTATAAACACAGAACAATAAATATAATAGAAGTGGTTAGTTAGCGTCTGACGCGTGCTAACTATAGGGTCTCCAAAGACCTATCTGAGGTCAGGCCGCCATTTTCGCTTTGTATGGTATGGTTGTGTCATTCTTTCGTGCAAATTCTCTAAAATTCTAGAAAAATGCCTTATTGTGCTGTTTTGGAGTGCAAGAGTGATAGTCGCACCAAAAATATGACTCGTGGTGGTATTCCATATCATCGGATAGTCTTATTTTAATAAATTTTCAATTTTTTGTTGCAAGAAACGAAAGTAAAGCTTACACCCCTGCAATATGGTCGCTTCTTGTTGAAAGAACTTAATTAATAACTCCAATTCATTGTCGTTAATTAAATGTTCTTTAATATAAAATATATTTCTGATTTAGCAGTTAGGTGTATCAAAGTAGCTCCTCGTGTAGGAGGCTCTGAATTAGATTTCCATGGGAATTTGAATCACTGAAATGTTTACGATTTCTATGCAAATCATGTTTTAGCTCGTCACGGTCTTGGAGACACATAGTGTCCTTAACAATATTGGTATTTTCTTTTTTGTTAAATTACGGGCGAATACACAATTGCGCTTAGAGCGGTTACACACGGCGACATTTAGCAGCGATGCAAACAAAAAAAAAGGTAAAGACCCAAATGAAAATATACATATTATAGAGACGTGGATTTACAAAAAAATACAATAGCAAACCTGTACGCTTTAACGTAGTTTTTGACCTTGAATTTTCGCCAAACCATTGTAACGTAACGTGTATTCATAGTGCGCAAGTAACGTTACGAAATGTTCAAATTTCACTCTAGCGAGCTCATAAACTAAGTACATTAGATCATGCAGTAATGACGTTATTGACTTTGAAGTAAATGTTATTTTTGTAAAAAGTGAGTACATATACTTTACGCCATTTTTTTACCATACCAAGTGCCACTTGCTACAGTCACACATCTTTAGCCTCATCAACACGCAACAGTGAATTCATATTATATGCTCGGTTAAGGTTACACTTGAACTGGCCTTTCGTTAAGACGTCATCAATTTTGGTCTTGGTAAGTTCGTCTTAGTCGGCCCTTAACAACTTGCCTACACACGCTCGCCTTAATATATCTGTTTTGTCAATCTTGTTAAAAATAGAAATCAGTAAATTCGAAATATAGCGGAAGTGCAAAACTAACGAAAATTTGTATTTAGACACCGCGTGCACTGCTGACAAAATTGTCTTCAATATTTCTGTTTAAAGATTAATATTAGTCACTAATATAAAACAAATTGTGTATACTGCAGACCAATAATAAGTAACACATCCTGCGTGCGATGTGGTAGATTCCGAAATATAAAAGCGAAATTCTGTGTAATAGACTTTCTGCATTTCGCGTCTCAACTCGAAAGTGCAACTCTCAACGTCTTTTTCTTTCTTATAGCATGAACAGAAAGCTTTTTCGGACCGGATTAGTGCTATTTCGTGTCAATAAGTGTGGTGACACTCTAACAGAGTAGAGGGACGCGCTATTTCAATTCCAAATATTAAACTTTACCTATATAGAAAGTGGCAAACGTCAAAAATGTCTTCCTTCTATGTACAAAATATAGAAAGGAGTAAAGGCTGGTTGATGGAATAACGTGGACACAGTCGCACTATTTTAGTTTAATCGTGAGGATTTAGGCCACCGTTCGTGCGTCCGTCCGCCACGCTGATAATGACAGCTAAAAGAGCTATAAGTTATTTATCTAGTAAATATGTATAGCATGTGTGTATATTTTGTGACAAATAAATAATTTATCTGTCTATCTAAGAGCGAAAACTTTACATGTTACCAATATTGAGTATGCTCTTTACGAATGAGAAAAGTAAGGCACTACCTACCGAGTCGACTGTATGTCTGTCGTTGCCATAGATTTAGTATATAGATATACTAAATCTATGGTCGTTGCAGTGTCAAGTGTCATATTCGTATGTATAGGTATCGTACGCATAGCTACTTACGAAACTTTATCTGGTACACAAGTGCTGAGACCTATAAGCTTTCCATTGTGGAAGGTCATTTTTAGGTTGCCAGGAAGGTTCATACTGATGTTTCTGTCCAGGAGGAGGGGATCCAGACTTGGGATACCAGCTTCTGGGATGCCTTTGACGATCCCGGGTAATGCATCAAGGGTTGCTTTGGTGAAGCACTCGTCTGTGAGTTCAGCACAGGGGTGGATAAAGTCCGCTGAGAAAATAAATAATAATTGAAACTCCATTTCACGTTTACAGTTTAGGAGGTATTAAGTGTTATAAATCTATAAGTCGAATTTTATGAAGGTGAATCTTTACGTTACTTATTCACATAATATAAAATTCTCAGACAAAAGAATCAGTTCTTTTTTTATAATATCAAGTGACGGGGCGAACAAGTCGTGCGCCTGATAATAAAGTTGCAGTGCCTCTCAGAGCTTTAAATCGCAAAGATCTGAGGGGCACTGTCACTGCGCCCTTCTCCCTGAGACATAAGTTGACAAGTCCCATGGGCCTGTAATTTCACCAGCACCCTTACCCTTCAAAACCGAAAAACCGTAATGCTGATATTACTGCTTGGCGACAGAAGGTGGTTGTACTTCCCTGGACGAACTCTTTCACAAGGAGCTCTCCTACTACTAATATCAGTATAAAGCCAGTATAAAGATTTTCGACAAAAGAGAATTTCGGCAGCTCGGTAACTTGACCTACGGTGCAGCGTGGTCGTGGGTTCAAGTCCCACCGGGTCTGAGATATTATACCTACATGTGTTAATATCGTAGATTTACATCTATGGTTCTTTTTTTTTCCATACTCAAGGTTCATATGGACCCCGGTAGGACACTGCAAGTTTTAAAAATTTGAGAAAGGAATTCACATTGCAATAATAAGCTGCAGGCAGTTTTAATTCATTATTATTTTTTTGTTTATTTGGGTCAATAATGATAAGAAACTCGAATGCACTATGCGGGCGGCGGCGCAGCACTATTGACGTCTCGAATCGATACTCTGTGTCTCTCTGTAGGTAATCTAAATAAATAAATCCACTTCTCTCATAATATTTTTTTTTGCAGTAAATATGTAGTGACCATGTCACCAACACCGTTAACCACTACTTACTTTTTTTTAATTAATAATTTTGGCTTGGATACAAGTCCTTTGAGCCATGTCTTCATTTAATTATGTTTCTGTAAATATGGCCGCCACAAAGAGGATAGGCAATTTGATACTGATTGACTTGGATTGACTCGGGATTCCTTAGAACGGGCCGATACGGGTATTTTAGTTCAAGATTCGTATAATTTTCGCATTTTAATCTTCGATTAAGGCACAATAGCACTATCCTATTCCACTTTAAACTAGATTTCACAAAATAATTGAAAGTCAAAATAAAAATGACACTTTTCCCTCCAAAAGGTCCACAGCGAATCCCACTACTTACTACAAAAAACTAAGAAGTAGTGATGCATTTGAATAATAAACAATTAAAGGAAAGATAATAGTAAAAACATAGTATGTACAGATGACAGCACATCAAGCTATACATTGACGGATCTTGCTCCGTTGCTTTGGAGGCGATATTTGAACAATAATGTACCTACAGCTTCATGTGCTGTTGGCTGTACAATTCAAACCAATAAAACATTTGATTTAAAAAAAAAGAATTACTACATACACATGGTGTCATACATATTACAAGTAATATTGTATGATATAAGAGGTTCTAAGGCTAATAAAGAAAAAAAAAGAACAATTAAATAGTAAATAATATCACAAATTGTTAATCAAGTCCATTACTAACTTTTTAAACGCACCAATTCGCGTAATTTATACATTTTATGTAACTTTAACTCTGAAGATAATGCATCGTATCAACTGGCAATACCGCCTCGGAAATAGCCTAGAAGTTTTGCAAAATAGGAATATTACTTGTATTTACTAACGCAAGATCACTGCGAAATTGTGGCGTGCGCAACGTCACGTGCTCACGTCATGTATAGCAAAATTGCACTTGCCTACCTTTACCTGTATTTCCATGGTTTTCTTCTAAGCTATTTATGTCTATACTAACGAGATATTGCATTCAATAAAATATGTAAAAGTATAATGGGAACATAAACTGAATTATGTTTATTTGTATATAATATGGCACTCCAATAATTAAACCTTACAATTATTGATCCACCTTTGGAAATATCATTTTTATAAAAGTTTTATTTCCCTAAACAATCAACGAATAGTTGATGGAAAGAAGTAACATTTTTGTGCAATATTTTAGTTGCAGTTGTTTGTTTGAATGTTTTAGTGAAAGGCCGTTTTAGTCAAAATAAACCCGTATAGCCCAATTCCGGTGGCTTCAGCTGGTACTTATATCTTTTTAACAACGCTAATAAGAGTGCATACAACAAGGAAAACCGGGTTATTAAAAAAATGTTAGAGATAAATGAGTCAAATGGTTACAATGTTCATTGCCATTAAATAGTTTGTAAATACAAAGTTTCATTACGCGTGTTACCTTTAAATAACAATAACACTATTTATTTATCAGTTGATCGAAAATAACTAAATATAAATAAAAAAGGAAAGAGCGAGAAGAGAGAGAAAACAAAGGTGTTCGTTTCGTGAATTCATAAAAGTACTCAAAATTTTCACATAGCCCATTTGTTTGTGTCAGTTTGGATGTTTCGCGAAATATAGAACTATTTCGGTTGGTGTACCATTACACTGTTGAAATACACGCGCATGCGTATTGCAATCGCGTTGCCGGCTTGAGTGCCGCGCTTGCGACCCACTTGCCGCGCGCAATCGGTTTGCACATCGATTAGAACACGTCGGGCGACATATATATTATATTATGTATATAAATAAATATTATACGACTATGTTGTGGTTTAGCAGGAGAATCAGATCACACAATACTAAAGTTTTACGTGTTATGTGCACTTAATATTTACATATCTCCACAACCAAAACAACATGTTTAAAGTAGGCGACTCATTATATATATATATACTCAGTCATTTAAGCAAGTACTTAAAATTTCAGTCGTTTATATCAAAATAAACTTTAAATTTGAAAAGAATAAGGCTGCATTTTCAACATTACAACTGAGGTACATTCTAAAGTAGGAAAACAGATAGCAATGCAGTAATGTTGAAGTCACAGTTACGAAACTGTTCCATTAAAAGATCATAATATTTACGTACAAATACATACACACAGAGAAAAATTTTCAAATTGTAATAAGTAATTTCTTATTGCCCATGAAGGGCACTTATTTGTGGACATGAAATATTATTGCATATGACGTTTATTGTTACTTTCAAACTTACAACAGTAACGCAGCTCAATTTTTTTTTATTCGCAATTGCTTATTAATTACATATATTATTATTAATTAAACAAACAATTAAAATTTGTATTTATATGGCTTTACAACGTACTATGTACTTAGACTCATTAGTAGGTATTAATCAAAATTTGTAGTACTAGGTATATAAAAAAAAATTAAAATTTATGACGAATGATTACGGAAATGAAAAAAAATTAAAATTAAAATATTTGGAAACTTACGCAACGGCACGAGTTCCAAGCTTCCATGCCACCACAAACAAGACACTAATAACAAACTCGCGTACCTGAACATTTTTTTTTTTATTAATCTTAAGTCCGTATTAGTGCGATAATGCCGAGGTGCGTTTAGCGAATGGCGCCTCGCTTCCACCGTGTGTCTTACGGATATTTAATTTTGAGCTGTAATTAAACACTTCAAGGACTCAAAGGCAGTTTTCATAAGTCTTATTGCATTTGCACATTGGATGTTGTGAACGTCCGAAGAAAAAGTTAGTGTGTCATGGATTTTTGTGAATACACGTACGCGAGCTCGTAATTGATATTTGCGATCCCTGTTTTTACTGTCTGTTTTATGTAAATTTTTTCATCGAATACCTGCTGATTGATTGCTATCAGGTTAAGTTAACAATTTACCACAATCATTTTGAAGTGAATTTTTTTATAAAATTAAATATCTACTAAGATATTTAATTCTATAAAATATAAAAGTGAATTTTTTTTATAGAATTAATCTTACCTTATTAATCTTAGTAGATATTTAATTCTATAAAAAAATTCACAGCAATGAGCTCCTTGTGAAAGAGTTCGTCCAGGCAAGTACTGCCACCTACTTATTTCTGCCGCCAAGCAGTAATGTGAGCATTGCTGTGCTCCGGGTTTGAAGGGTACTGGTGAAATTACAGGCACATGGGACTTATTAATTTCTGTCTCAGCGAGACGGGCGCAGTGGCAGTGCTCCTCAGATTATTGCGATTTGAAGCTCTGAGTGGCACTGCAACTGTTATGGACGGGTGTGTCGGTTAGTACCAGATATTATATAAAAAATCACTAAGCATAATAATTTTATTAAATTAATTATATTAAATAGAACTACATAGGTCTTAATTTATTCTAGTTATTGAACTTTTAATCTATGGCGTGTGGTTCTGTCGCAACCAGAAAAATGACACATCACCAACATACAATTTCATGCAACACGCTCTAGTCTTCACAGTACAATATTATGTTTGTTTTTCTAGCACATAGTATGTAGAATTTGACTATCAGAACACTGCAGAGTTGCATGTTGTGATAAATAATTAATTAGTAGCAGTAGAGCCTCTTGCGCAAGAGTCCAGGGAAGGACAGAGCAGGAAGAACTTATTTCTGTCGCCAAGTAGTAATGTGAGCAATTACTGCGTTCTGGTTTTGAAGAGTGATGGTGCTGGTGAAATTACAGGCACACGGGACTTTTCAATTTACGTCAGAGGGTGACGGGCGCGTTGGCAGTGCCCGTCAGATCTTTGCGATTTAATAATCTGAACGGCACTGCAACTGTTATGGACAGGCGTGTTGCTTACCACCAGGCGCACGACTTGTTCGTCTCGTCACTTGTTATCATAAAAAAATAAATAATCTCTCTATATATGATATTATTTTCTTGTCTTACTACTAGGATACACAAAAACTAAATTTGATTTGTCCAAAATTACGATCCACAATGACAACTTTTCAGTAGAGAGGTTTAAAGTGTTTTGTATTATTTTTCAATGTTTTTGCTGTGTTTTTTGTTTTCGTACGACTTCCTGTCGTGCTAGCTCTACAGATGTGATTGTGAACGTCAGTGAATGTGCGTAGAATTATATTTTGCTATTGCGTTTCTCCCATATTTGTGTTTTGTCGCTTTCTTCACTCCATTCCGCTATAGTCCACACCGTCCACTTCAAGGAGAATTATAAAATTTCACATATGTTATATAATTTGTTTTATGTAATTCATATTACTTATTTAGGTACTATTACGTAATAAAAGCATAAATTGACGTATGGTCACATCTGGCGTCATGTGGTGGTACGATATAAGGATACTTTATTATAAACGTGAATATCTCCTCCATTTCCTCCTATTTTGTGATTGTTCATGATACATTTATGAGATTTCGTATATTAGTAAAAAATGTACCTATACAGCATGTAAAAGGATCCAGAGTGGACCTCAAAATTTATTCTTGTTCTTTTGACAATTTCGATTCTTTTGTACTCTCGTTTGTTTCACAACTACCACAAAGGCACATACTGCTCTTATTGATAACATAAAGATATAATAGACTCTCATTTTGTATTTGGTATAGGACGATGCGACCGCAACCTCCTCGAAAGCCTTGGTTTGACGGTGCAGGACTCTTTAGGGAATCTCTTTTTCAGCATTTGGAGTCACGTCTGGTTGCATTCCACTAAATAAATTTTATCACTTAATAGATTAAAGCCTCAACCCTCTACGATTATTGCAAAAGAATAGAAGACCTGATCCATCTGTTACTGGAGTGTGACCACACTAGGGCCACAAGAGTGCGATTTGGAATTGAGGAGATTGGACGTAATGGAGGTATAAATATTGTTCTGTTAAACCCCTTACAGAAAAAAGTCAAAAAGATTTATACTTATGTAATCTATTGCATCAAATCTAAAAATAACTAACTAACTGACCCTAATTGACCATACAATTTGAGCTTCCCTGTATTCCCTATAAACACCATATAGTAAAGAGTTAAAGACCTTGTTAAAAGTTTTAAAAAAACTCTCATTTTACGTGATATATGCACTGCAATGATATAAGTAGTTGTAAGGCAATTTTGCTTTCAGTCTACTGGAAAATAACGAGCAATTTGATGAAATGAAAGCAGTAGTCGTCCTCACACTCTGGTACTCCCTGAGAGATAGGAAGTAGCCTAGAGATAAGTTAACTGAGCCTTAACACGAGTGGGTTACGTTCGTCATTATGCGAGTAAATACACGATACTATCTGGATACGACCTTACTAAAAAATACAACATCTTATTATTAGAAATCACCCTCTAGTTTAATTTTCCGTTAGTTTAAGAATGCTATGCAATGCCACGACTTAGGTGCACTCATCTATAGGTAAGCTATACCAAATTGTCCTTTTTAAATGGGGTAAAGCAGAATATTCAAAGATTTTCTTGTCAGATATAAAACTTTACGTGTGGTTACTGTTGATTTAGTTTTAATATGTGACTAAATAAAATCTTTGTTATTGTTAGCTACGTCATTAGCTCGTCATTAAACTCTTGCACAAAATAAATAAAATTGACATTGTGTTATTTTTGTGTAAAAAATTATGTTACCAAGTCATTTCACATGTTTCACCTTTTTTGTTCAACACTTATTTTATTGTTTTATGTCGTTAAAAAAAACAAGGCTTACAAAAACCTTACAGCTCAATTTTAAAAAGTTCTCTGTTTGTGAATAAATGTGAACAAATTTGAAAATTTCGTTTCGGAATTTCCATTCATGAACTTATCTTTCGGCGACCTCGGTGGCCCAAACGCTTCGGACCAATTTGGAAGGTCTTTTCTAAATTGGTTTTAGATTGTATATTCTGGGTGATGCCGCGGAGTGAATTCAATTGCTCTTGTGTGGTTGTCTGGTCATGTTGATTCGTATCATTTATTATCTTACTGTTTGTACGATATGTTTTTGAATTGTCTAATTTGCATACATTTATTGAAAGGTAATATTTCTTTTTTAAATTACATTCTGTTGGAGATTTAAATAAAACCCGGCATTGAAAAGGTTGAATCCACAAAAAATAAGGAAAAATCTCGTGGCTAGTTTTTTCGTGGTAACTTATTTTAACAATTCAGTAGCATTTTACGTAAAATTACTCGTCTATTCCCCGTAGTTCCATGTACTCAGTTCCACGTAACGTTACTTATTGCTGCGTTTATTATTTGATGGTTACAATAAATAGTTATCCTATGTGTTCAGTCAAGGTTAGGGAGCTATTGGTTAAAGAAGACGATAAATAAAGATTTACCTTATTGAACTTTAATTTAAAAAAAAAACACAATTAACACAATACGAAGTCGAACAAAGATAGTATAATAATACTATGTAGTACAGAAATGTAACATAAGTATATTTCTGAATTGGGTGATTTCCTCAAGTTGCAGCACAAAAGTTGTTTCATATTCATTGTAATTTCATTATTTACAGCTTCATGATATTCTAAAGACTCAAGACAATACGCAAGGAGGTCTAATTATGTGCAACGAGATAAAACTTTAAACATTGTTACTGCAGGATATTGTTCTGTTGGCGACAATGTCTATCAACGTTAAACATATTTTCTTTAAACTATACACTTCGCCTTCACAATATCCAACTTTAAATGAACGTAAACCATGTGCCGTGTAAATCCTACGAGTGAGGTCCTTTGATGTATTCAAAGGCAAATGATGTGGTAACTAGCAACCCGCAACAGACCTTGACACGAACACGTCATTGTGTACACAGTACAGTCAGGTACGAAAACAGCGTGGCCTCAGACGTGGCTTATGACTGCGACGCGATAGTCGTAGTAAAACCATCTTGCGTCATTCTCTAAACATTGGTTCCACACGTGTGTTAGACGGTCTGAATCTAATAACGACTTTGTGACCAACAACGTTTCACGTAGTGGAGGGTTGGGCTATTTAGTTTTTAAACGTTTTACGCAGTAAGGAGCTAATAGGTATTTGAGTTATTAAAAGTATGTTTCAAAAAGTTGATATTTTATTACAGCTCATTTTAATTATGATTACAAAAACTGTTACACTACACAATTTACAGTTAAGTCATTTGCTAACAAAATTTTATAGAAACTGACTGTACTTTACCTATCGCCTTGAGTAATTTTTTGAGTCGACATTGTTTTCTTATTTCGTTTGGTTTTCAATGACAAAAATAAACGTTATTACTGTATAAGCATGGGAAATTTCAGTATTATGTACGAGTTATTTGATAATTTTCGTACATTAATTCACGGTCAGCTATTTACAATATAAAGAAGTGTTTATTACATTTCCGACACTAGAACTATAATATAAATTAATATGAGCAAGTAGGGCAACTCCCGCCTGGCGCGTAAATGCCTGCACTTCACTCGGAACGTAGAGCTGTTAAATTATTATTTTAGTTGTACCTGCAACATGGAAACATAATTTGAAAAGATAAGGCGTTCATCACAGTATTCTCGTGCTATATTGAAATAACCTTTGTTAAATGCAGTAGGTATTTTTGTATTGGTATTTTTCTACCAGGATCTCGGATTTGTGCCTTCATAATGGATATGATTATGA